TGGGTTAGTTATTCTGTTTGGAGTATGCACTACTGTGAAGTTTCTGCTTAGGACTAAAGAGATTTTCTGTACTCACAGCGTATGACTAGTTCTTTATGAATGAAACCACTTTGAAATCAAAATAATAGGTTCGCGATGAAGTGTTTATCAGGGAGTATTCACAATATATTATGAAATTAAATCTTTGGTAAAAACTTTCACTACTTTTTTTCCAACTCTTGTGTAACATGAATTGAATTTTTAATTCATAATTTATAATTTCTAAGACGTATAGCATTATAGGTATGACACAGAACAAAAGCAAACATGAATTTTTACGGAAATCCAAAAGACAATATTTTTATTAAATATCTTTGAAATTTCAGCAGAACAAAAACATCCGTTTGCTGACGAGATAAGTATATTAATATTTCCCTTACATTGCTATGTCAACATAGTTTGGAATGACAGAACTGAGTTACCTTACATACATGTGTATACATGAACGTGGGTTTTAGCTTTTATTGATAAGACAGTTGACGTTTATAGTTGACTTTGATGATCAGGTCAACATGTTATCTGAAAGATATCGAATCATGCATGACTTCCTGAACTAAAGTAAGAAGTCGAAGCTACGACTAACTTCAGATTTATTTGTTTTTACTGAATATTTGAGAATAAAATAATGAATTAAAGTAAATTTGAAACCGTTGAGATGCACTGGAGAGTCGTCAGAAAAGGTTTTCAGAGTTATGCCTATCTATTTTGATTTCCTTTTGAAGGTTTATAGGAATTTATTGATTCCAAGGTGGTATTCATCATGAACTGACATCAGTTGGGAAACGACTGAAAACCACATAACACTGAACAGCTACTTTTTCCAAGTATGGGACTCCTCAGCAGTCTGTATCCAGCTATGAACCGAACTTCAGACCTTCAGGTTTCACGGCGAATGCGTTAACCACTTACCCAGCAAGTTGCAGCTTAATGGTTCACAGTTTCCAACTTCTGTCAATTTGCAATATTGCGCAACTGTCAAGCAGCCTTCAATTGACATCCACAACCCTCTGACTGGTTGACCTGACAGGTTATGAGTTCAAACTGGAACTTCGTGATTTTCGTCTGGAAGTGTGTCACTAATGAGCACTACACAGTGAAGTATTTTTAGGCTAGTGGGGATTTTAATTCTGCAGTAGTATTCGTCTACGACTGACATCAGTTACAGAATCACTGAAAACCTCGAGCGTTGGACGTCCGTTCAATCAATCAAAATCAGCAGTGCACACCCATTATCATGTTAGAGCTGGAAGGATGACTATTAGTTCGCATGGCCAACACGTGACCATTGAGTCACTGGGCAAAAATCTAATGGTTTACATTTTCCTACTTTAGTCGTTTCATGATTTACTGCGATCCTAATCTAAGATAATTGTTTAAAATCAGTCCTGAAATCCGACTTGGTTTACTTCACCGGTCTTTACCACTCGTTCAAACTTTATGAAATTTTATCTCAAAGTATGTTGCTAATGAGCACTAGACGATAATTCAGTTGGAGGTTTGAGAGGATTTACTGATTGTAAGTTGGTATTCGTCACATGTTCTATGTTTGACCGCTGATGGAGTCACTTGTGCACAGTGCTGCAGACAAAAAGCCTACAAATTCTTACAGGTTTCCCATAGTTTTTAAAATGATATCAATTTACGATGAATACCACTTTTGCTTCGATTTCTGTCGATGGAAACACACATATTATCACTCTTTAGTATGCTTCTTTTTATGATGATGAATCCGACTTATGATCCACTTTTCGTTGAACTAGATGACCACAAGTAGCTACTTTATAATGTATAAAAGGAATTAATTCTAATTGAAAGATTTAATAACCAGGAAAGTTGGGGCAGTTCATAACGGATCTTGAAGATAGCCTTGAAAACCATTTATAAACTCTCAGTCTGAAACTACAATACCATATAAAGGGTATGTCCAAGTTGAACGAAAATAACATTTGAAAGACATTAGCAGTTTAGAGATATTATCTTTGTCCATACTGAGTTGGTTTCGGAGTCATTTAAATGTTATGTCAGAAATAACTGTCAGTGTGTCAGGACTTTACAGGTTAATCTAATGATTCATACTCTAAGCAACAAATATTTTCTTCAATTTTTATATCATCCTACGCGGAAAACTTTTAGTGGACTGTGGATAATTTTTAGGCATTCTGTTTCTCGCTGATAAATTTAAACAAAAAAGACAAGATATTTCTGAAGAATCGACTGGAACACTTTGAATTACCATCATTCTGGAAATATTTAGTTAGAATTCTCTAGGCCTCTGAAAAACCACCTAACTTAAACACGCTTACTGCAAAGACCATAAGATGGAAGTGGACAATCTCTAGAGTAACCTGCCAAAAGTTTACTTACTGTAGAAAGAACTATATGATATATCCATAGAGTTTATAATGCTACGAGGTTGCCTACATTTAAACAAATGCAGTGGTAATAGAACCGTGGAGCCACTGCATGTAAGTCAAGTGGAAAGTAGACAGTGAGCGATCGCAAACAAATATTTCTTTCAGGAATATTCAAAATGCATCAGGTTACATTTTGACATATTATCAGCAAACTTTTTCAGCTATCTGTTCACGTATACGAAAAATGCCAATGCTAAATGATTTAATCGTAATTGAATTTATTATACAATTTTATTACTTACTATTTTCTTATAACAGCAGGTTTCGTTGGACTGAACTGTTTTAGTCAGCCGACAACTCATAAAAAAGTCAATTTTCAACTATTCCCTCTAATTAGTTTATCTGATTTTATAATGAAATACATGGAATATAAATTGCTTTGAAAATACTTTTATCTATCATTCTCAATCTCAAATCTGCAGTTTTCCACCAAAAAAGGTTATTGAATGCCAAATTGATCTCTAAAACAGCTTTTAATAATCGTAAAAGCCTATTTTCTTTCATTTGTTCATAGGTAACAAGTCAGTATCTACTGTATTTATAGCCTAAGGCTGTAAGTCACAGAGAAAATGTATTTCGTACTAACCTAATATATGGAGAAAATGAAGGGTAATATCTATTAAGATCGATAGAACCTGATTATCTGCAAGAATCCAATGATGCAGATGAAAGAATATATCGTGAATGTATATGAAAATAGGCCATGTGAGAATTAAGTTGCGTGTCCGTAATAAGATGGCAGAAACTCCTATTTACTTGAACAACTCTTACCAGGGGTCAATCTTATAAATAAAGAATTTTCAGATTGACTCAAGTAAGAAACTGTGAAAAATTGAACTGCAACCCAGTGACTGAATTTTCAACATACTCGCCTTGACACCTATAAGTCTTGATTTTGACCTCTAAAGAGACCGTGGGGATATATACTCAGAAGTTTGATACTTGGATAAAACAGCTGTTAAGAACTTGAAATTTTCAATGATTTTGCAGTTTATGTCAGTCTATGATTATTACCACCTCATAGATATTATTCAAATTTAAAAATATAGAAAGTGATTTAAACATATGCGTAAACGAAGGGATAACTTAATGGGAAATGGGGTGGAGATATGTTGTACTTCTTATCTTATTTCTGTCGATACAGATGATAGCAACGTCCCTCTTTTTGGTTGGAATATATCAAAATAACGCTCTGATTTATGTACTGAACAGATTGAACAACTTTTACAGCTTGATTGATGAAATTAAAAGGATATATACGCTCAGTAACGCTGAAGTGCCCCTTGAGAATAACAAAGATGTCATACTTGTTGATGCTATGTTGATTCACAGTTTTAGGGTGTTGACAATGTGATCAACATTTATTAGTCAATCTTCCGCAGACCACCATGACATGTGGCATCAATAAACAATGAAAACTGCAGTGTAGCGTTGTTTGGCTTGGTAATCAAGCTGTAAAAACTTGATTGATAATCTCTAATTGGTACTGAGTAGTTTGATGCGTACACTTACATCCGCATGGCCAAAAAGAAAAGATATTGACTTGTCTGCTGAAAGTTGAGGCATTCAATGTCCTAGGAGTAATGCTATTCTTCAGCATTACAGATATGTTTAACTAATAAGGGGCTATAAACAAGACATCTAGTCTACTGATACCTACTGTCTAGCATAAACAGTTTTTGCCGAACTCTATCTTCCTTCCTTCCTAAGAATGACACCACTAAGTGAAAGCAAATTGTTAGATTCCGTCCAACCTCACCTCTGAAATAAAAATATGCGGAACAAAGTTTGAGATTTTCACAAGTGACTGGTAGAAAAGCATAACAGATGCAACGCGTTTATTTAAGATTCTGAAATTACTCACATCAAATAGCAGCACTCACTAATGTTAACTGGTAATATGTGGATTAGTTAGATGTCAGTTGATGTCCACATTTTATGTTGCAAAACTGTTGCTCTGTAAAGCCAACAGACAAAACTTACAGTGCAAAATCATCAGATTCCAAAGTACAGGTGAGACTGGGAAATTGCGAACTTGATGTTATTCTAAGTTTTTGTTACGGATCAAGGGGGAGTTCAAAACAAACGCAAAAAAAACTTTAATTGTCTGGACTTTATTCTAGTGTTAAAAAGGTTTTAATGATGCTTAAATAAAGAAATCAAATTTATTTTATTCATTCAAAATCAACTGAATATTTTAGGCATATACAATACAAACAGTCAATATTTTCCCCAACGACCAAAGAATTATCTTGGCCATTAGACAGTATTGTGGTCAACAATAGATATCTGAGTGAACAAAATCTGTTAAGAATTGGAAATATTTATAAAATCAGGTTTCTTCTGTGGGAATTTATATACAATTTTGAACCAATTTTAAACATTAAAAGTCACTTTTATGACAGTAGAATGGAAGAGTGAAAATACAGAAATATCTCGAACTTTAACAGGACAAGTTTTGTATATGTACAATGTAAATTAAGAAGCTTGAAACATTTAACCACCTTTTTGCTTGATAACTGAAGCTCTTTTTTCACTCATCGTATGTCATACTACTTTGTGTAAAACAACTGTGTCAGTAGTATTTGCACCAATGAAAGACAAAATGCTGAATTGTAGGTATTCTGGAACATAGAGATATTTCATTACACAATCTTGAAAATGTGAAATTTCATTTAATGTCTTGAAGAAAATCCTGGAACTCCTGAAAAATTAAAGCAAAAAGCGAACAGTTCAATAAAAACAAAAGTAATTCAAGCCATTCAGTAGAAAAATAATCTTAGACATCTAAGTCTATAGGCTATTTTCCAGTTTGTGACAGGAATATTCCTCAATAAAGGTGAACAAACAGGTTAAAAAAGTTGGTGGGATTAAAATTCAGTGGCAGAAAACTTTAAAATGACCAATAAGCTTGGAGATGTTATGTTCAACGTCACTAGTTGCGTCCGTTTACAATACTAACGGATCTGCGTAAACTCGTCATGTGATAAAACGAAGATTACGTTGTTGGTTATTTGTAGAAAGTTATATTGGTTGGGAGAAGGTAAAACTGTGAATATGGTATTGCAGTGGATTGCGCACCTAACAGTCCGTAAGGAGATGGTTTAATCTTTCTTCATCCGACCTCTAACATGAAGAAATTTTTGAGAACAAGTTCGTTTACAACGGATCTCATCCGACTCTCCAGCAAATAATGATTTCAGTACTATATCAGGTTGCCGGAACTCTTTTAATATCAGTAGGAGTTTCTTACTTGCAGTAGCATCAGTATTACTGAGATATTTGCTGCGACATAGTATGCAGGCTGGATATGAATTTTCGTGGAATAGGTATCGTGGTTGAAATAAATCACTGTCTTGTTCGCAAGTGTAAATATAATCGAGGGAGACGACTGGTACACGGCTGTGTAGATCACATGCATATCTTTTCATAAATCACAGATTTTTGATATATACCATCAAAATACAAAGACATGACCCTTTTAAGGGATGAAGGATAGATCAGAAGAATCTGTCCTTCCCATTATAGGAAGATGAGTAGCATGCGTACCACAATATACAAATGTTTGGAAGTCGTATATGCCGTTATCTGAAATGAGTTGCTTTCATCAAGTTATTATTTACAAGGAGCACTTCGTTGATCAGACAGCTTGAGTGCACACAAACATTGAAAAAATGTGGAGTCATCTTAGGAAGCTTCTCAAACCTTAACGTAATCACAAGGGAATGTATTGCTGTCTGATATGGATCAGTAGCAGTAAAGATAATGGTACGGTGTGCAACTTGATAAACTTATTGAAAATCTAGATATCATTTTCGTCATGTAAACATATAAATTAATATTAAAATCCCATTTTACTGAATGATTACGCTGTTCATTAAATTTTCGATTCTGATTGGTCACCACATACTTTATTCTGAATGGCTATTACCAAAGTTCAACTCGACCAAAATATCTTCACATCTAGATCCGGAAAAGGATTACCGAAAAGCAAACACTTGTACAAAATGGTGGGAAATTTCATTTTGGTGCAAGAGATTGAAAGTCTGTTGGTGGAAGCTCTGCTTAGTCCCATTAGTAAAATGGATCTGCAGCCATCAAGAAACCGGTGTACTCTTCCTCATTCTAACCTGCGTCACTGAGTGATGAAGTCAGAAAACCCACTATTAAGTTATTCAGGCCTCAACTAACTCTCACTAAGACTAGGTTATGTACACGGATTTAGCCCCAGCTCTAGTCAAAGTCTCTATACCAAGTTTACTATGTGACTAATAAACTAATTGACCTAAAACCGTAATGTACTGAGTTCTATAGGTTTTTAAAACTACACCGAATCTAGTTAAGTCATCTGAATGATCTATTTCATACTATTGTTCAACTTAGAAGTTAAAAAGGAACAAATCAACGTAGTATTCATAACAGACGGATTTCAATAGGAGAACCATTGAAAACCTGAGAGCACTGGACTGCTGTTTCACCCTGTCGTGGAACTCATCAGAAGTACACATCAACAAACTTTCCAGGATTCAAACTCAGGAACTTCGGTTCTGACTCTCGGTGAATGCGTGGACCACTCAACCACTGCATCCCAGTTTAGTGTTTTACAGTTTCTTACCAATGATGATTCGTGATATAACAGGACTATGCACGAAGGTCTTCCGTTGGCATGGTTCATTGACATAATGGCGTTGGTTGTCAGTCATATCACTGTTTCTGTCTAACTAAAATGCCTTATCCCGTCACTTGTATTGCATTCCTGCATCAGTTTTCTTGTCATTAGCATCTCTTTTGTTGGTACTTTCAGAACTTACACCACTGATGGTATTTTTCCAGCTGGAAGTTTATGTTGTAGAATTTAGTAACTTATCAATACTAAAGGCTTAAAAATGGATAAATAATGTCAAATAATAATTTGTGCTTAAACTTCGATTTTGTCTATATCTTCTAAAGAATTACGTCATAAGTGAAAAGACTTGATTACATGTTACGTTGAGCATGTATCAAACAAAGAATATATTGGTTTCATTTATCTAGTGGGATATTCCATTGGTACCATCCTTTCTAATCACGTGATGTCAAATTTCAACTGGATATTTAGTTTATAAAGATGTAATTATGCATTTGTCAGTGAGAGTAAGGAACGGTTTGTTTGTTGAAGGTAATCGACACGAAGCCCTCCTTGACCTGGGTTTCGTGCCTGTTGAGACTTGTCAACAAGGTGCATCCGCAGTTTTGACGTAAGTTATGTCTCGCCCGAGATTCGAACCTGCGTCATCTAGTATCTTAGCGTGTGACATTACCGTTGACTCTTCAGGCTTCAGTCGACGTTCTGTAGAACTGAGTTCGAAACATTGATTGGTCCCTGGAGAGCAGTCAATGTCATGTTGTCTAGTCTTGAGTGCTGATCGATTTAGATCAATCGTTTCTGGAATTTGGCTGTCAAACTAGGAGGCCAAGTGGTGCAGTTCATACTGGTAAACTTTAATTGGTTTGAAACAATCAACGAAAACGATCGATAGAATTCGGTCAGCACTCAGGACTAGACAATATAAAATTAGGTGAACCCTCCGACCAGCCAATGCATAGTCAGGGACTATTGTTATGCATTAGGCCTCTATTGATGTAACTGGTTTAATGGGTTTAAGCAGACGCTGATTGCCAAATCTACTAGGGAGAATCTAATCTAATCCACATAGAAATAAAAGTAACGATGAGAGTACTCATAGACCTAGTTGACTAGCTGAAACAGGGAAATGTACTACGAAACAACTTGAGTACTTAAAAACCATTCAGGTTGGTCTATCATTTTTTGCCAGGCCAATAAGAGTAGTCTAAACGTTAGATGGTCGTTTTGTCCATTTGAAGGCGAGCTCATAAGTGGCCTACCCAAACCGATTCAACTCACCTGAATCTGGTTAGATGACTTGTATGGTTAGCTATGCCTAAAATAGAATAAACAAGTTGCAAATGATTTACTTAAGAAACAGCACAAGTACGGAGTTGAAAAACTACTCAGCTGTGGGAAACTACGCTATGATTTGTACATGGCTAGATACAGAAGTAAACTAAATCATATTATAGAACTGTAATTGGTAGCTGGGAAAAGAATAGTTAAGAAAAAGAAAACATTTCTCTAAGATCCAAGTAACCGAAGCCATTGGTGGACGACTTAGTACAGCAAGTTGATATTCATGAACGGTCACAGTTTCAAATGACTGAAAATGAGAGGTATAAGTCATCACCAGAAAATGTTTGCTTCTGAACAGCATTCTACCATTGGTGTACACTATCTGTGAAGTTTGAGTTCGGTTTGTCTGTATAACTTACTGGGAAAGCTATCAGGAAGGCTGTTAACTGAATTGCAAGTCTGGGAATTCTTGAAAGACCCTCAAAGCCTATCAGAGTATATCGGACGTTCGAGAAAAGCCCCATAATCATGTGTGAGACTTAGATTGGGTAAAGAACCTTCTGGAAAAGTGAAGGACTTTCGAAGACTAACAACAAATGTATATAAATCGTCAACATTCGACTAGCCAATAAATTTTCATCGATTTTGCAGCTTTTTTTCAATTATCAAGGAAATGAGCCATCTTCAAGGGTGAAATTTAAGATTATTGTTCAAGAGTTCACTCCCATATATGCATATATCTATGTCTAATACAAGGATATATCAGTTTTGCTCAACGCAAGTCAAAATTGGTAATGCATACATGCATATTCTTTGATTTTTTTTCATAAAGACTATATTCATTAGCGTATTATCAACTTCCCCGAGGACTTCATGACTTATATGTGCGTAAAACCCTTACTATCCAACGAATCATGTTAGTGCACGGTAGCCTGATTCATGCTTTCATTTGACCTTTTAATTTATTCTGATAATTTGATATCTATATATTGTAAGCTTAGAAATATTGTATAAACTTAATTATCATTTTGGTTGTCTGAGGTATCCATAATTTGGGTAACTTGTATTTATACTGGTTGGTAATTGAAGGTGAAACTGAAATCTAAGTTGTGGAAGGATTCACTGGAGGTCACTAGTTCCAGTCCTGTAGCTGCCTAGTATAAGCTTTCCACAAACGCATATTCTGTGCTTATTTTTGACATGAATTTCAGGAAACGTTCCCGCAAATTATTTTAAAGGTGTTAGTTAAGTCTAGGACCATTTAGTAAGCATGGATCATCTCAAAATTCTTATTCTCATTACATATGAATTTAGAGAGTATTTTCAAGTCCTATTACATGGAATAATCTTTAAAGATACAGAAGCATAGAATCCTCTAACTGCTGAAGAATTTAGAGTTGGTTTCTGTTTACAAATGTTTTGTTTCCCTTTCAAAACTAAACTTTTCAAGTGTAACATTATATCAGTGGTGCTGCTTGTATTATCCCATCGTTGATTCGACTAAACTGATTGGTTTCTTTTGGCATATTGGCAACAACACATAACAAGAAGTGGTTATCAAGTTTCGGTTGTCTAGTGGGTAACGCTCTGGGGTTTGAAGCGATCGGTTCCGAGTTCGAGTCCCAATGGGAACAACATCAGTCACTGGGAGATAGGTACATCCGGCTGAAGAAGTCTCAGATAGGACGAGATGCACGTCCTGGTTTTCACTGCTAGTCACCATCCATCATTAGTCTGTAATATTATTGTCTAAATGTGTTTATTTTAAATTAACACAGTGCATCCTATTGTCAACG